CCCTTGATATATCTCTGTACTGCACATTGTCTAGCAAGAAAATAAAGCAGACATATAAAGCAAACATAATAAACCATAAATAAACAATGTAAATCATAAATTGAAACTGTTACTTTCCTGTGATGAGGAAGGTAGAGACGGTCTAGGGTGGCAAGTCCATCACCACTCTTATTGTGCCTTATTAACACATCATATCAAGAGGAACTATCACCGGGGCATTTAGGCATAACACACAAAGTCGGAAACAACAATAAAACACATAGTCAGAGAAACATGGTAAGTGTAAACAAAAGCAAAGATGGTGGGATGAGTCAGAGGCAGCGCGCAGAGCCTACTTGTGGCGAGAATTCGCGTCACACCACCGCCCGTCCAAATTCAAAACAGCTCTCCGGGATATCAATGAAACTTGCAAGGTATTTCTCCAATATGTAATCATCGGTTATGCAAAGCGACGGTTATTGGAGCATCTGTTTTCGGGGTTTATCTGTACAGTATTTCAAAATGCTGTATGGTATTAATATTCAATTTTCTACTGCCTCCCATGAATAGTTGAAGGCACGAATATGAAATACAGTCATGCGCCGGTTAACGTCCTGGATACGTTCTTGGAAACATGACGTTAACCGAAATAGACGATGTCCGATCATCACAGAAACTTTAGATTTATACTTACGTGTATGTGGAATACTATATACGTACATATACACTTTTACTGTTAAATCATTACTGTAATGTGATACAGGTGATTAATTTTTATCTCTTGTGCAAAATACATCACGTTTATATTAAAATTATTCACTGTTTTACAAGGATTCCAGCAACGCCAAGCAGATGGAGGAGAGAGAGGGAGGGAGCGAGCGAGGGGGCGTGGGGGGAGGGGAGGTAGTACGTTTGACAGTTGGCACAGGCCCAGGTCTAACGAGTGTATATTTATCAGTTCTTAGGTGACTAAGCTTCTCTCTTATAAAAAGCCAGTGAAATGACCTGGGTGAATATAATTAACATAGCTGGGACTCTTGTAAGATACTGATTTATTTGAATATAAACATGTTGTAATTCGCACTAGACATAACAATTTTAGTACCGTAATCAAATTAGTACATGTGCACTCCAGCTTTGCATTAAGGTCATTTATTTATTTTTTGTTTCTTTTAGTATGGTGTGTTCATGTAAATGGATGAAAATAAATGAAGAAAATTTATGTAAATCTACCCACAAATACAGTTGAAAAACTTTTTATAAAATGTACTACAGTACTGTACACTAATGTACAGTCAACCCTCACTTTACGCGGTTAATGTAACCCACAGGGTACCGCGGAAAGTGAGAAACGCGTAAAGTGAATAACATAACATATGGGATTAATTGAAAAAGAGACCAGGCCGACCCCCAAACTCCACTTTTTGACGACACACAACTATGTTGTAGTAAAAATTTTATTTTAACTTTATGATGGTATGCACACACAATTAATAATTAAGAGAAATATCAATAATATTAGGTTTTTTAACACTTACATTAGTAGAAAAGATGGCTGGGCACACGGGGATGGGGGGTTGGTTCCGAGGCAGAGGGCAGATTATTGGCCCTCACCTGTATCACTTGTATCAATTGTATCACTATCCACCACAGAGGCTTGCAGGGCCTCTTTGTCAAACCCCCCAAAGTCCATATAAGTCCATATCCTCACCATAATTATCACTATCACTGACTTGGGCCGGCTGTGGTGGGTGGCGGGTGAAGAACTGGTAATGTTTTGATGACTGGGCGACCTTGTGCGCACCATGTTCGCGCCGCTTACACAACATGGCGGATGGCGGGAGGTTTGGATCCAAAAATGGCGCGGCTCGCCAGCCGCTCTCCGCGTAAAGGGGTACACGCACCGCGGAATGTGAGCATCCTGGGTTCCGGCAGGGCACCGCATAAACGTGGAAACGCGGAATGTGGGACCGCGCAAAGCGAGGGTTGACTGTACTACATTTTTTATATCTTGAGCAAAATATATGACACTTATATTTATATTAATCTCTGTCTTGCAAGGATTTCAGCAATGCAAATTATATTATCCTAACTTTAGTCTGAGATATTATATAAAATAAACATAAAGAAATCACCAATCTTTTGTCTGGGAACACAAGGAGGAGAGGTAGCCAGCCGAGCATGAGGTGAGGTGACAGAGTGTCTTTATTTATTTGAGATAAGATTTGACAGTTGGCGCTGAAGGCCTGGGTGTTCATTTATCATTCCTTAAGAGTGACTAAGCTCTTCTCACAATTTGCCACCCAAACGACCCGGGTGAATATAACTTACATAGCTTGGATTCTTGTAAGATAGTAAATTATTTGAATACCTGTATAAACAAGCTATATTTGCAATAGACATAACAATTTTAGTACCGTAATCATTTAGTACATGTACAATACAGGTTTGCACTTAGGTCCATTGTTACTGTACAATATTGACTAAATTCACTAGATAACATACGCCTGGCAGCACAATCTATAAGAATACGCAATGCATACGTGACTGTGCCCACTCTAGGGTCATTTATGTTCGCTACGTCCCTTTATTTGAATTTTTTTTTTGTCAATTTAAATTTTAATTATTTATTCCTTGATAGAGGAAGCGGGATGTTAGTGCTGTCACTTGGTACCCCTGTACCATAACACCAGAAGCAACTGGCCAGTGTCACAAGTATATACAGTCGACCCTCGTTAATTCGGACTAATAGGGGGGGAAGGGTGTCCGTTTTAGCCGATTGTCCGAATTAACCGATTTAGGGGTTAATATTGCATTATGTTTCAAAGTCATTGTTTTCGTCACGATTTTATCCCACTTTCCACTGTAATATGCAAGTAATTTCAGCAAAAATATTACATTTCCGTGAATGTATTATATCAAGCACAGCATGAATAGAATACCATTGTAATATAACAGTATTTTAACCGAAAACTACTAACAAAACGAATAACATCTCAAGAACATCGGAAGCTTAGGTAAAGTCTTTTGTTTTCGTCATGTATTTTATCCTATTTTACATTGAAATACATCACGTTTCAGCAAAACTACTATTTATTTCCAAGAATATATTCATTCAGGCGCAGTTTAGGTAAAATATACGTGTGATGTAACAGTTTTTTAACTGAAAACGATTCGAAAAACACGTGTACCCTCTAGCCCTGTTCAAAGAGAGGACTGGGAGAAGCAGTTTGGTGCTGAAGACGATGACAAGGAAAATGATTTGGATGAATTTTAATGAAAATATTCAGAAATATGGTATCGTAGTATTTATTCAAGTCAATTAGGATAGAATATTATTGTAATACAACAGTTTTTTAACTGAAAACCAATCGAAAAGCGATTACGGTAACATCTTTTGAACGAAAGAAAGCGAAAGTCATTGTTTTCGTCACGATTTTATCCCACTTTCCACTGTAAAATGTACGTCATTACAGCAAAAATATTACATTTCCGTGAATGCATTTTATCAAGCACAGTATGAATAGAGTACCATTGTAATATAACAATATTTTAACCAAAAACTATTAAAAAAACCAGTAACTTCTCTTGAACATCGGAAGGTTAGGTAAAATCTTATGTTTTCGTCATGTATTTTATCCTATTTTACATTAAAATACATCATGTTTCAGCAAAACTACTATTTATTTCCGAGAATATATTCATTCAGGCACAGTTAAGGTAAAATATACATGTGATGTAACAGTTTTTTAACTGAAAACGATTCGAAAAACACGTGTACCGTGTAGCTGATTGATACTCAACAGCTGGTGGAGCGTCATGTGTCGTTGTAAACAATAGGAGGTTGAAGTAGATTACCGGGTATTATATTAAGTGTGAAATATCAAAAAGGTTTTTATTACCGGTATTTTTTGTAGATCAATGAGAACTGTGATACCGTATATATGATATGATAAGTTAGCCTGTGCTAAGAACTTCAACATAGACTACTGAAAACACGTTGTAAGGTAATTTAGCCTATTGTAAGTTAGTGAGCTTCATTTGCACAACTTTTCATTACTAATTGGTACAAATTTTACGTTTCCATTGTTTACTGGCAGTAAATGGTAAATATTTTTCATGTCTGAAGCTAAAAGTTGCATCCCCCCCCCCACACTAGTGGTGGAGATGTTACATTTGACCAAAAAGATGCTGGTGTTTTATCCCAGCAGTGGGTGGACCAGCATTTTAGCTTAAGGTCCGCGTAGGTAATATTCCTACAAATCTTTAAAAAAAAAAAAAAAAGTTCGTTCAGATTTTGTCCGAATTATCCGAAATCCGAATTAACGAGGGTCGACAGTACAGTACAGTCATCCCTTGGTTATCGCGCCTAATTGGGACCCCGCCGATAACGAAAGTACAGAACCTATGGGATTTATTCTAATTGGTTCCAGGCACCCAAGACCCAACCCCAAGTTTCCCATTTTACGACCATTTAGACCCACTAAATATATATATAATGTTATGGTAAATATCATAAACACACATAGGCATGGCTAGGTTTATTACAAAGTGATGAAAAGGGTACGCTTAATACTGTAGTCCACAAAACATGTAGCTATGCTTTTTTTTATTTGGTCCCCCATCATACGAGTCCGTTTTCTCTCACATCAGGACGCCTGAGTCCTCCGTTTTCTCTCTTAATCTTAGAGTGCACCAGAGACTTTGTTATTCTTAGTAATGCCACAGAATTTGAAATTGCAACCCCAATTGGTTGCAATTGTTGAGGCAACTAGATATGTCTGATTACAGCAAATGTGTTATTGTCAATTTGTAGGTGAAAGATTTTATCCTCAATAGATGTAGGTTAACATTACACCTGGAGGCAAATGCTTAAAAAAGCCTAAGGAAGGAAGCATATTCCTTTAACACATAATATCTGACCAGTATGGGGAGGATCATCGTGTCTCCGTCAGGGGGTCGTGGAGTGGTGGTCCAGCAGGCGTACGTTTTTTTGGGGGCATGCACGGCGCGATCGGACGTTAACCTGCGCATGACTGTACGTGAATAATCAGAGATTACTGTACTGTATAGTGATATAACCGTTAGCCGGAATAATTGGTGCAGAGCTCTTCTGGGGACGAGAGATATCCGGGTAACGAGAGAACTCTCAAACCCTGAAAAATCCCACATTCCCAGAATGTTTACAGGTACTGGGAAAAGTTTCTCGGAATTTTCTGGAAATTGCGCATTACAGCATTTCATCCTCAAAATCTGCTTCCAGACCCAGAATTGAGAGAATTTTTCAGGAAAGATTCTGAGCCAATCTCAATTCCGGGTATTGGAGAGTTCCGGCCAATGGAGATATTACCGTACTTGTGTACCGATTAATAGTTATTAAAAGAAGAACTTAAAGACTTCATGTTGGTCAAAGTACCAGCAACATCCCAGGCATCACCAACCACATCTAATGATCCTCTTTGACTCACATCATTACCTGATGATACACAAGTGTTCAGGGCTGAAGCAGCTGACCTGGCCCAGCATTCAATGCAACACTGTCATTCAGAGACACACACTTTCCACTGAAGATAATGTAACTGGTAAGCTTTACTCTTGATGATGTTTATTTTTTTCCTCTTGTAAAGTTACTGCAACTACCTGGGTAGTACTCTGCATTTCACACGCATGAGTTAAACTGGGGACTGAGACTGCACAACTCCCAGTGTTGGACGTTACGTTTAAGTCCGAGTTATTCACCAAGTCCGTGGAAGTTACGGTTGATGACTGTTTCAGCCACCCGGTGTCTACCATTACGGGGGCAACTCGTGATGGCTGTGAAGTCATCGCTTTATACTTTTCCTCTGGACATTTTTCTTCATTTACAAACTTTTGACTGTGCTCTAAGTTTTTACTGAACTGGAGGTCAACTGAACCTATAGTATTGTAATTATTTTTCCTTTGTCTCTTGTTTACACACACAAGCTGCTCATTGACTTGTCTTGAAGAATCTGATGGTAACAAATTACTTATGAAATGAACTTTGTGTGTGACCATGTGTTTGGTCAACTGATGCTCCTCTAAGAAGGCACTATTACACAGCCCACATATCCAACATGACTCAGACACACCAGCATGGTTTTGTTCAACAGCATGTCTGCTGAGGGAGGCAATATCTGAAAATCTTTCCCCACAGTCAGGACAATAATATAGTTTGTCATTATTTTCAGGATTCCTCAAGATATTGTGATCTGCAGCTCCTTCCTTGTCTCCCCGGACACATTCCTCCTTTTCTTCAAAACTCACCGTGGTTAAGTTGTGAACTGTCTTACTGTGTTGTTCCATTGTTTCCTCATCTGAAAAGCTAAAGAAAAATTCTCTGATAATAAGAGTTACCTACAGATATAATTACAAATCTTAAGTTTTGTACCTGACTTGTGACAGACAACACTCATAATATATTAAGTTATACATCTAAAAGGTATTGTTAGCCAAAAGAAACATAATTCTACCAATTACTCAACCTCTTTCTAATCCCAAGTTGAGAGAGTAAAACAAGATCTTCATACTGTACTCTATTCTAGTCTTGTAGTTATACTTTACAATACTGGACACAGATACTGTACTGGACAGTACTGCAGTATAGTACAGAGGCTGTACTCTATGAGGCTAGAGTCCAAACATTAAAAAATACCAAACTAAACTACTGTAGCTGTATTTCAAATAATAAAAATTACCATTTTGTTACATGTTAGAGTTATAAATACAGTACATTACTGCTGCTCAAAACTGGTGTTTTTTATGAGCATTTAAACTGACGTGAGTGTCATGTGAACATAAAGAAGTTTGGTGTGGGACAAGTTAATGATGATGAAAGATGACAAGATTTGGTTACTTCAACAAGACAAGGAACACTTACCTCGGGCCACAAGACAAGGAACACTTACCTCTGGCCACAAGACAAGGAACACTTACCTCGGGCCACAAGACAAGGAACACTTACCTCTGGCCACAAGACAAGGAACACTTACCTCTGGCCACAAGACAAGGGAACACCTCTGGCAAGACAAGGAACACTTACCTCTGGACAAGACAAGAACACCTCGCCCTAAGACAAGGAACACTTACCTCTGGCCAAAGACAAGGAACACTTACCTCTGGCCACAAGACAAGAACACTTACCTCGGGCCTAAGACAAGGACTCCTTGGCCTAAGACAAGGAACACTTACCTCTGGCCACAAGACAAGGAACACTACCTGCCTAGGACAAGGAACACTTACCTCTGGCCACAAGACAAGGAACACTTACCTCTGGCCACAAGACAAGGACACCTACCTAGGAAAAGGAACACTTACCTCGGGCCAAAGACAAGGAACACTTACCTCTGTACAAGACAAGGAACACTTACCTCTGGCCACAAGACAAGGAACACTTACCTCGGGCCTAAGACAAGGAACACTTCCTCTGGCCACAAGACAAGGAACACTTCCTCGGACCAGAGGAACACTTACCTCTGGCCACAAGACAAGGAACACTTACCTCGGGCCAAAGACAAGGAACACTTACCTCTGGCCAAAAGACAAGGAACACTTACCTCTGGCCACAAGACAAGGAACACTACCTCTGGCCACAAGACAAGGAACACTTACCTCAGACCTAAGACAGGAACACTACCTCAGGCTGAGACAAGGAACACTTACCTCTGGCCACAGACAAGCAACACTTACCTCTGGCCACAAGACAAGGAACACTTACCTCTGGCCACAAGACAAGGAACACACCTCGGGCCAACAAGGCACACCTCTGGCCTAAGACAAGCAACACTTACCTCGGACCAAGACAAGGAACACTTACCTCTGGACAAGACAAGGAACACTTACCTCGGGCCACAAGACAAGGAACACTTACCTCTGGCCACAGACAAGGAACACTTACCTCTGGCCACAAGACAAGGAACACTTACCTCTGGCCACAAGACAAGGAACACTACCTCTGGCCACAAGACAAGGAACACTTACCTCTGGCCACAAGACAAGGAACACTTACCTCTGGCCACAAGACAAGGAACACTTACCTCGGGCCAAAGAAAAGAACACCTCTGGCACAAGACAAGGAACACCTCTGGCCACAAGACAAGGAACACTTACCTCTGGCCACAAGACAAGGAACACTTACCTCGGGCACAAGACAAGGAACACTTACCTCTGGCCACAAGACAAGGAACACTTACCTCTGGACAAGACAGGAACACTTCCTCAGGCCTCAGACAAGGAACACTCCTCTGGCCACAAGACAAGCAACACTTACCTCTGGCCACAAGACAAGGAACACTTACCTCTGGCCACAAGACAAGGAACACTTACCTCTGGACCCAAGACAAGGAACACTTACCTCTGGACAAGACAAGCAACACTTACCTCTGGCCACAAGACAAGAACACTTACCTCTGGCCACAAGACAAGGAACCTTACCTCAGGCCAGGAACAAGGAACACTTACCTCTGGCCACAAGACAAGGAACTTACTTCTGGACAAGACAAGGAACACTTACCTCTGGACAAGACAAGGAACACTTACCTCTACAAGACAAGGAACATACCTCTGTGACAGACAAGAAACACTTACCTCTGGCCACAAGACAGACACTTACCTCGGGCCAGAAAAGGAACACTTACCTCTGGCCACAAGACAAGGAACACTTACCTGGGCCACAAGACAAGGAACACTTACCTCTGGCCACAAGACAAGGAACACTTACCTCCACAAGACAAGAACACTTACCTCTGGCCACAAGACAAGGAACACTTACCTCTGGCCACAAGACAAGAACACTTACCTCTGGCCACAAGACAAGGAACACTTACCTCTGGCCTGGGAACACTTACCCACAAGGACAAGAGGAACACTACACTACCTCTGGCCACAAGACAAGGAACACTTACCTCTGGCCACAAGACAAGGAACACTTACCTCCACAAGACAAGGAACACTTACCTCTGGCCACCACACAAGACAAAGAACACTTACTCTGGCCACAAGACAAAACACTTACCTCTGGCCACAAGACAAGGAACACTTACCTCTGGCCACAAGACAAGGAACACTTACTCTGGCCACAAGACAAGGAACACTTACTCTGGCCAGACAAGGAACACTTACCTCTGGCCACAAGACAAGGAACACTTACCTCTGGGACAAGGAACACTTACCTCTGGCCACAAGACAAGGAACACTTACCTCTGGCCACAAGACAAGGAACACTTACCTCTGGCACTGTTACTCTCTCTGGCCACAAGACAAGGAACACTTACCTCTACCTCTGGCCACAAGACAAGGAACATACCTCACAAGGAACACTTACCTCTGGCCACAAGAAAAGGAACACTTACCTCTGGCCACAAGACAAGGAACACTTACCTCTGGCCACAAGACAAGGAACACTTACCTCTGGCCACAAGACAAGGAACACTTACCTCTGGCCACAAAACAAGGAACACTTACCTCTGGCCACAAAACAAGGAACACTTACCTCGGGCCACAAGACAAGGAACACTTACCTCTGGCCACAAGACAAGGAACACTTACCTCTGGCCACAAGACAAGGAACACTTACCTCTGGCCACAAGACAAGGAACACTTACCTCTGGCCACAATGTACACATAAGTTGGCAGGAGCAGGAGGCGGTGTGAAAGGCTGCGTCACCTGGGTCCCTCTCTCACACTCAGCAGGCTGGGATGGTGCTGACTGTTGACACTTGCGTTCATGACTCTTCATAGTCTTTGAACTTTTGAACTGTTTGTCGCATCCAGAACAAGTGAATGGCTTTTCGTGCTTGTGAAGCGTCCTATTGTGCTTCAACAAAGCTCGGCGGTCGCGAAACGCTATATTACAAATACTACACTTGTACGTCTTGACCTAAAAAAGACCAGGACATTCATATGCATGTTTATTTAAACTTAAATTCTGAAGAAATATAATGGGTCATATTATTGTACAGTACAGTACAGTACATTACTGGTCTGTCTTTCTGGTGACCACAAACTCTTCTCTGTTTCTTCCCAAGCATAACTGTAGTAAAGTGGAGTCAAGATAATTCGTGAAATCCAATTTCAGGTTCTTAAATACCTGGGTACTGGAGTCAACCCCAGATGTCATCAACCTCACCCTGGCTCTGTCACTCACAGTAATACCTGGTAAAGTAAGGCTGTACAGTATGTAATGGTGATTGTGATTGGTGGATCTATTTTTTGTTGTATCACTATCAGGTTAAATATTAATCATTTTTATAATAAACTACAATGTATTCATCATTATGTAAGATTATGAAAACTTGCAAATGTTCATATACAGTTACCCCTCCGTTAACGAACTCAATCCGTTCCAGAAGGTCGTTCGTTAACCGAAAAGTTCGTTAACCGAAACCATTGTTTCAATGGGTTTTTGGGTAATTGGTTCCAGCTCACCGAAAATTTCCTAAATTCAACAAAAATGGTAGAAAAGTTCACTTACTTTGAGGTGTGTATGTAGAAGGCTCCTGGATGATGATGATGATGATGATGATGGGATTTAGAATGGGGGTGGAGGAGAAGGAAGAAGAGAAGGCATTGGGGTGGAAGAGAAGTCACCCCATGGCACCATTTCACCCATAAAATTTTAGCTCTCTTGGTGTAATTCAAGATTATTTTCTTTAAATCAACAATGCACTGCATTATATATTGTCAGTATGTAAAATATATTTCAAAATGACCAATAATTTGCTTGGAAACACAGAAAAAAAGCATTTAGTTGAAGAGAGTCTCAAGCAAGATGTTACCTCCAGTGAAAACAGAGAGAGACTAACTCCTGTTTGCTGTGTTAAGAGGCTGGATGCCGCGCATTAAACTAGTCACTTTACCTTCAATTATGTTCAATAATTGTTAAAATGACTAAAAAATTGAATATTAAACTTTTAAAATTATTGAGTAGTATAAACTTCTTGATATTTACTAAAATAGTAAGGAATTTAAGCCCTAGAACCGATTAATGTATTGGCGGACTGATACTAAAGCTGGTTGCCCGGCCAGTGCAAGCGAAAACATGTTGAGGTCGGTTCGTAAGAACTTCGTTAACCGAATTGAAGATCCTTATGGAAGGCAGTTCGTTAATCGAAATTACGTTAACCGAGGTGTTCGTTAAACGAGGGGTCACTGTATTTGCTTAAATAGTGAAGAAATTATATTGATAAAGTGGCAACTCAACAACGAGGACTGCCACAAGATTCTCACATCAAATTTTCTTCATTATTCAACCAAATATATGAACACTTGGAAACTTCTCATGATCTTAAATAACAATGAATAGTTCATTATTATGAAAATTCTACCTTTAGATTGTTTAATATTTATCCTGACAGTGATACAGTTGAAAACAGATCCACCAATCACCTTTACGTACAGCCTTACTTTGCCACCAGTAATACTGTGAGTGACAGAGCCAGGGAGAGGTTGATGACACCTTTGGTTGACTGTACAGTGCCACTATTAGTGCTGCCGCAGTGTTTATTTACATTAGAAACAATAAGAGTTGTGGAAATATCATTTTAATGTTCTAATGTGACTTAAAAATAAAGAATATATAATATAAATATAATTTCAATGCTCTAATCTGACTAATAAATAAAGACAATATACAATAATTTAAACTATAAAACAAGAACAAATAAGAGTAGACAGTGGCTGGATGACAGATGGTTGGAGCAGACAATTCCTCCTCCCCCTCTGCTTTCCCAGCACTGTCTCCCCACGACCCCTTTAATAAAGACAGTTTGCAGTTTCACCACAATTCCCATATTTTAGGTTCATTTGGTGCTGGGTTAATAAACTTATTATTGAAAATAATATTTTTCCTGAAAAAAAAATCCCACTCAACCCCAGAGGAGTTATTGAGACATATTAAATCCCTGGCACTCTGTTTACATAACTCGAACAACTGACCAGCCAGCCAGCCCAGCACCTGTGTGTCTTGTTGTTGGTGTGCAGGAACATCTCACTATTCACAACCCAACTATCTGCACTTGATATTTTAACACCCTTATTCGATAGTCACAAAACATACCCAGCTCTCACTTGCAAATGAAAAATTACGATACCTTTAATGAAAAATGCAAAAATATTCAAGAACCAACAAAATAGATGTTCACTCCACTGTCAACAGAGCCCAACTGACGCCTTGTGGCTGAGTCAAGAGGCTGATGGGCGCACAAAAAACTAGTTCCCTGTACTGCATATATTATCAATATGTTAAATAAATGTTAAAATGACTAATAATTGTAATATAAAATATGCAAAAATATTAAAGACCACAACTTTATTGATATTTACTCTACTGGAAACGAATGTAAACATAGAACAGATTACTGAATTGGCAGACTAGCCCATCAGCTGATGCTCACAACAAAACGTGATGTTCGTAAGGATTTCGTTAAACAAATTTTTGTTCGTTAACCAAATTGAAGATTCTTATGGAAGGTAATTCGTTAACCGAAATTTCGTTAACCGAACCGTTCGTTAACCGAGGGACCACTGTATAGTAATAATAAATAAAGGTATTTATAAGGTCACTGTACTTACTGTTACCGCAAGCAGTAATGAGTAGGATGACACATAAACAAACATTATGCTCGGCTGTAAGTCATGTCATGTTCATTGGGTGTGCCTGGCCGTATACAGTGTGTAGAGTACGAAGATGGTGGAGATGAGAGGCCCAGAAGGAGGTTGGAGTGTGTGAAGGGAACTTGTTTATGTATAAACTCCTGATGCAGCAAAGTTGACCAGCCAGGGCTGGCATGTGACTCCGGGCAGGGTACTGCCAGAGTAGCTATCCCCATCGTAGAGTCAACACCTATCCTGTTTCTCTTGAGACTTTCAACTCGTAAGTTTAAACTGCACTTAAGTTTACACAGGTAGACTGTGTCCATTGCATCGGTTATCACTGTGACAACATAGAGATATGGCAAATTAAGTACTCATTATAAGTGTTAAGATTAGACTAATTACATAGCTATGATTGTTATGTGAATATATATTGGATTAAACATTTAAGTACGATTGCCTATGTATGATTTATTTGAAATACTAAAATGAATTGTATTCAACAGGTTTGACCGAATTATATAACGTTCGAGTTTAACGTGATGAGTCTGATTAACCTTTAAACGCTCAGAAGGCGTTTACACTTACTTTATTCCTAGTGCTGCCTTGCATGCTGGGACTTATGTTGCTTGCAGGGGTGTTGGAGTTAGTTGGAGGATCAACAAGGTCTGAGGTACAGGGTCTGGGGCACTGGGAATGGCTTTAAAGGTTGTACAGGTTGACAATCCCTTATCCGAAATCCTTGGGGCCAGACGTATTTCGGTTTTTGGAACTTTTCGGATTTTGGAATGGTTAGGTTGTTAGGTTAGTTTCGGTTCAGTTTAGTTAGGTTTAGTATAAATGAAATTGTGGGATAAATATAGTCCATAAATACTCTAGTACAGTTTATTTGTAAGGAAAACATTTAGTAAAACTTCCAACAGATACAGTAAAGGTACATTACAGCTGGCTTGTTTATCATGAAGAGGACACATCAGTGTTGTCATCGTCAAGTAGGAGTCGGACATCTGAAGATGGGCTAGGAACAGGACTCTCATTAACAGTGGTTTCTGTCTAAGCAGTCTCTCTTTAATGGAATAAACTGCCATAGTCTCGTGCTCACTGATAAATGCACGTTGTTTAAGGACAGTAATTAACTGATCACAGGTTTTCACCACATCGTCTATGGAGACTTTTTCACCTGTGTTCACAATTTCATCATCATCATCACTACTATCCTCATGCTTATCTTTATTTAGCACCATTTCAGCTATTTCCCCATCACTCAACAAATGCACAACAGGTGCATCATTGTCAATGTTCAGCACTTCTTCAATGTCGGCTTCCTCCAACTTATTTACACTTTCGGAAGATAAACCTTTGGCATAAGTCAGGAGGTTTGATATCATCATCTTCTCCTTAGTGACATAAAATTCTTCAAAGTCTTCATCTGCATCTTCATTTACATCAAACATCGTTGTAGGCTAATGCCTGTGCCAGGCATTTGTTAATGTTGGTTTATCAACAGCGTTCCAAGCATTAGCAACTGAATAAATGGCATCCTTAACATTGAACTCTTTCGTGAAGCTCTTGATTCCTACGCCTCTGTTGACTGCATCAAGCATACAGTTAAAAAAAAATCTTTATATTTGCTCTTCATGGAGCGTAAAATTCCTTGGTCACAAGGCTGTATTAAAGACGTCACATTGGGGGAAAGTAAATGACAAAAACATTACTTTTCACAAGAAGTTCAGCAGGGGGATGTGCGGAGCAGTTGTCAAGGAACAATAGAATTTTACAGTTTGCTTCCAGTCCAGCTTCCCTGCAGTGAGCTAGTGCTGCTGGTACAAAGCGGTTACTGAACCAGTCAGAAAATAGTTCTCTGGTTACCCATGCTTTCTTGTTGGCATAATAATGCACAGGTAAATTGTGTACACCTTTCAGACATCTCGGTCATTGGCTTTTTCCAATCACTGCCAACTTTAATGTTTTTCTAGGAACGTAGCGCCAGTACAGAGCTGTTTCATCAGCATTATAAATTTGTTCAGGTCTAAGGTTTTCATCAGATATAATATTGGCAAATTTGTCAATGTAATTTTCAGCTGCTTCATGATCTGCAGAAGCCTTTTCACCACAGATTTTCAGATATTTTATACCATGACGCTTCTTTAATTTCTGCAGCCAACCTTCTGAATATTCACACTCACCATCAATGTTCATTTCTTCATGGTATATTTTAGCTTGTTTCATGACCATCAAACCAGTCAGTGGCATACGTTCACTTCTTCGTTGTCGAATCCACTCAATCGGCACGCGGTCAAGATCTTCATTTTTTGCCCTCTGCAATGTTTTTCTGTTTTTCATTATTTTTGGGTCATCACTGTCAGTGTAAAACTTCAACAACTTGTCTTTCTGTTTCTTTAAGTCATATATGGTGGTAGTTCCCACACCATATTTTTCAGTAAGATGTCTCATAGGTACACCACGGTCAAGCTTCTGTAATAACTCCACTTTCTGTGCTATCGATAATGAGAGACGCTTCATTTTCGTCTCACTGTTACCCATAGGGTATCTGAAGCTCTTTTTGGCATTTTCAGTGAAATTTAACAAAATTACATAAAATATAAGAACAGCAGACGCAAATATGTGACTAGTAGCAACACCGAAACACAAGTGACGCCTCACTCACACCCGCTGCCCGGCGTGGGTCAAGCGCCCGGTAGTGTCAGGTTCCAAGTCACGTTCGATTTCACACAGTGATGCAACACGAAAAACTTTCGGTTTTCCTTTGCTCCTTCTGTCCCATCTCAACTCTCTTGAAAAACTTATCAAGAGATGACGTCTGCACAGTTAATCTCTTCTTTTCTTCATAAATTATCTTGTAGCAAGCAATAGCATCGTGAACAGCTGCAGACAATTTTGTAAATCTTTCAATGTTTGGTCCTGAGACTCAAAAGAAGCTGGTGTAGTACCTTCTCAATCATGCTGAAATCTTCAGCCAGCTGCTTAGAGTTGAACTTTTGGGGTTCCTCAGCCTCCTGTTCCTCCTCCTGGACCCTGTGTGACTCCAGCTCCATCAAATCTTCGTTGGTCAGCTCCTCAGTGTGGCAGTCCAACAATTCGTGGACATCGTCTCCTCCATTTCCAAATGCAGTTGCTTGCCCAGTTCCACTAGGTTGTTGGCCACTGAATCCACATTCTCTGTAAATCCCTTGAAGTCATTGGCAAATTGTGGGCAGAGCTTCTTCCAAACACCATTCATGTTGGAAGTCTTGACCTCACGCCAGGAAGCATCAATGTTCTTAATGGCCTTGTAGATGTTGTAGTTCTTCCAGAACTCTCTCAGTGTCACTCCACTCTCCCCTTCAGTCTCCTTCACAGCCTGTGTGAAAGTTCTCCTCAGGTAGTATGCTTTAAAACTTGCTATGACACCTTGGTCCATGGGCTGCAGGACAGAGGTGGTATTGGGAGGCAAGTACACCACCTTGATGTTGGCGTGGAAATCGTCCAGGAATGATGGATGACCAGGGGCATTATCTAGCACAAGCAGGATCTTGAAGGGCAGGTTTTTGTTGTTGCAGTACTTTTCCACCTGAGGTACAAAATTATGGAAAAACCAGTCATGACTCGAGTCATCCATGCCTTAGGGTTAGCCTTCCACACAACAGGAAGTGAAGCTTTAACAACACCCTTGAGGGCCCTGGGGTTTTCAGAATGATACACTAACAAAGGTTTTAGTTTGCAGTCACCAGCAGCATTTCCACCAAGCAGGAGAGTAAGTCTATCCTCCGATGCCTTAAAACCAGGCATAGTCTTCTCTTCTTTGGCGATATATGTACGATCAGGCATTTTCTTCCAGTATAAGCCGGTCTCATCCACATTAAACACCTGCTCTGGTAGGAGACCCCTGTCATCAATAATTTTCAACAAAAGCTTAGGAAATTCCCTGGCTGCTACCATGTCAGCACTGGCAGCCTCACCACTCCCGCTTATGTTGTGCAGGTTTGAACAAGCCTTAAACCTGTGGAACCAGCCATGGCTAGCAGTAAATGTTTCTTCAGCAACACTCTCACCATGTTTAGCCTTTACGTTTTCAAAGAGACATATGGCCTTCCGCTGAATTAGGTTAAGGCTTATAGGCATGCGGTGCTGATGCTGGTCTTCCGGCCACACACTCAAAAGTTTTTCCATCTCTGCGATCACTGAGCCTCTTTTCTTACTAATGTTCGTGGAATGCATTGGCAGAGAACCTTTCACATGTTGCATAATGCGCTCTTTGTCCTTCAAAATTGTCCCAACAGTCGAACGATTCATCCCAAAACCATTTGCTATGCTTATCATTTTCTCACCTCTTTCACAACACTTTATAATGTCCACCTTTGTTTTCAACATAATAGTGCAACACTTCTTACTACCACCAGCACCACTGGCATCACTCTTACGCTTCTGAGACATGTTGGGGTCAATAATAAACCACAAATAACACCGTGAGGCAGCAGAGGAACACAACAACAACAATGGTGCTGGGGATACAGGATGACGCCGAACAGCCAACGCCATCTATCGCGCGGCGGTTGAACTTACGACACGGTGCGGTTTTCAAACAGGCAATTGGGCAATTCGACATACGGACAGGTTTGTTCTTATCTCTGAAAGTTCGTAACTCGAATGTTCGTAAGTAGGGGAGCTCCTGTACACATATATGGATCGATAATTTTTTATTGTTGTATTTTTGTAGGATGGAGGAAGTGCTATAAGTCGGAATTTGGGATAACTCGGCATGGCCAGAACCCCACATGTGCCAAGTTATCGAGGGTTTACTGTATTTATTATAGCTGCTGAGGGGCTGCCCTCAAGCTGGGGGGCTGCCCTCAAGCTGGGGGGCTGCCCTCAAGCTTGGGGGCAGCCTCATTAATCTCCATGTAAACCTGCCCCTGTACACTACAGCTACTACCACAAGTTGTAAATAATTGCCTATTTTTGTTAAACATTCAGTACAGCAAGTCTAAAGAGTTATCCTGGACATCAGGTTATCTTAAAGTGACCCGACAATGAATTTGTCAAACTCAAATGACAGCTTTGACGAATCCATTTCTCGGGTCACTTTAAACTGACCCGATGTTTGGGATTCCTCTTCAAACTTGCTACACTGAAAGTTAAAAAATATGGGCGATTGTCATTAAAATTTTGTTACATTTAAACTACGTAACTACACTACACAGTATTTGGAAGCATCTGAGAACTAAGTCACTACTTACTGGTACTATGTGATGAAGAGACTGCATGTGAGCCAGGAGGAGTTTCTCTGTCTTGAAGACTAACTCACACTTACTGCAGGCATACTCCATTGTTTCTCTGACCAGATGTATTTGGAACATGTGGTGCAGCAGACGGGAATAGCTTGTAAATGTTCTGAAAGTAAAAATCTAATTACCTATACAAAGTTAGTGTTTATCAGTACCCAGCACACTACTGTACTATATATCATTTCATACTTTCTATTCATGGTAATGTAAAACAATATATTTACTCAAAGTATATCAGAAATTTCCAACACCTTTAGAGCATAAATGCAAGTAAAGTACAGTACAGTGAACCCTCGCTTTACGCGGTTTCACTTTACGTGTATCTACATTTACGCGGTACCCTGCCAGAACCGGAATTCCCACTTTACACGGTGCATCTACTCATATACACGGGTGAAGTATAATTTTTTTTATTTAGCTCATAAAATTCATACAAATTATCCGGCCAGAATATAATTTACATTGCTGGAATTCTTACAATTTGATGATCATTTTGAATATAAGCATCATAGATTTTGCATTAGACACACAAATTTTAGATCTAATGCAAGTATTTTGTTTACTCAGAGCAAATATGTTATCTTTTGTGCAAAATATATGAAGTGTATATTTAAAATATTCCTGGTCTTGCAAGGAATCCAGCAATGTCAATTATATTATCCTAACTTTAGTCTGAGGTATTATTTATTACTAAAAATGTAAATATACTGTTATAACCCAATCATTTCTCTGGTAGGGAGGGAAGGTGGGGGTGAGGGGTAGGGAGGGAGGGAGGGACCCATGGAGCAGGTGGGAAGAGGGGGGGAGGTGGGGTATTTTGATTGACAGATAGTATTTTGGTAAGTATATTTTGTTTATTTATTGAAGATATTTGTTTTAGCTCATAAAATTCATACAAATTACCGGGCCAGAATATAATTTACATTGCTGGAATTCTTACAATTTGATGATCATTTTGAATATAAACATCATAGATTTTGCATTAAAAATACAAATTTTAGATCTAATGTAAGTATTTTGTTTACTCTGAGTAAATATGTTATCTTTTGTGCAAAATATATGACGTGTATATTCATAATATTCCTGGTCTTGCAAGGAATCCAGCAATGTCAATTATATTATCCTAACTTTAGTTTGAGGTATTATTTATTACTATACCTTAAAATCTAGTGGTTTTCCCCCAAACAATTCTCAGAGAGGCAAGAGCCAGCGAGTGTGAGAAGAGGGGGAGGGAGTTGAGTCCATTATTTGAGTGGACATTAACTTGGCGACTGTATTTCTCTATTTCTCTTAAGTATTAATTGTGTGCATGTACCATCATAAAATTAAGATGTTAATTTTACTAGAACATAGATATTGTGTCGGAAAAAGTGGAGTTTGGGGGTCAGCCGGTCTATATTTCATTTAATCCCAAATGTTATGTTGTTCACTTTACGCGTTTTTTGCAAAATTTATATAAATAAATTGAAACATGGGATTATTTTTTGTAACTTCAATTTTCATAAACTAGATCTTCCTCCCCAGCTCCCTGTCTTCTCTCATGACTATGATCAAGTCCACCTTCCCACTTTTGGGCCTTGGGAGAATCTTTCCTCTTAATTATTTAAAACTAAAACATTGGATGATCTCAAGGTTAGCAACGTCTCTCCAGTTGCCTTATGGGATGTGTTCAGCCATGTTGTCTCCCCTCCACAACATGGCTGCAAGGTTGCTGTAATCAGTAGTGTAGTTGAGGCCAAGAATGAGACAATTTAAGCTTCATGGATCACCTAAGATTAGCCCCTTGAGTACTCATCTGAAGAGTCCCCCCCCCCCCACCTCCCCCAGCATTCAACCAGCCTGAACTTTAACCACCCCCAAAACTATCTGCAGAGCTAAATTTCAGATGATCCATAAAATCTGGCCATATGTTCCTCGTCCACAAGAAGGCTCCCAAGTGTTCTGCCTAATTTATACCATCACTTTGGTTTATTCCTCAGCATCACACACCAACAACATGACCTCTAATACACCAAACATAGTAAGATCACGTCCACACACTGCTACTTCCTCCTCCTCTCACCCACTGCACTGCCTCTCTCACTCCATCATTCTGACACACAGTCATAGAAATTTTTGATTTGTAATGAAAAAAATAATTGTTAGTTACATCTGTATTTGGGAATATTAATTTTATGGTCTAGGTAAAAATAGATGCAGATATATTTTAAAAGTTGGCTTAGACAGTACACATAAAGGTACAGTACACATAAAGGTACAGTACACATAAAGGTACAGTACACATAAAGGTACAGTACACATAAAGGTACAGTACACATAAAGGTACAGTACACATAAAGGTACAGTACACATAAAGGTACAGTACACATAAAGGTACAGTACACATAAAGGTACAGTACACATAAAGGCACAGTACACATAAAGGTACAGTACACATAAAGGTACAGTACACATAAAGGTACAGTACACATAAAGGTACAGTACACATAAAAATAGTACATACAGTACACACATAAAGGTACAGTACACATAAAGGCACAGTACACATAAAGTACAGTACACATAGTACACATAAGTACACATAAAAGGTACAGTACACATAAAGGTACAATACACATAAGGTACCACACATAAAGGTACAGTACACATTGGTACAGTACATAAAGTACATAAGTACACACATAAAAGGTACAATGTACAAAGGTACACATAAAAGGTACAGTACACATGTACACATAAAATACAGTACACATAAAGGCACAGTACACATAAAGGTAGGTACAGTACACATAAAGGTACAAGTACACATAAAGGCACAGGACATTTTATGACCCACATCAGTCTGGGGGCGAAAATATAATAATAAAAAAAAAAAAAAAAAAAAATAATAATAATAATAATAATAATAATAATAATAATAATAGTAGAATTAATAAAAATTAATATAAATAAATAACAATTATAATAAAAAAAATATTAATAATACTAATAAAATTAACCCAAATTTTAAATAATAATAAAAATATTAATAAAAAGGCATAAAAAAAAATTGAACAGTGATTAACGATATATGTCTGTTGTGTTGTCAATAGTAAGAGAAACAATTGAGACCCTGAGGGAGAAAGTCAGATCATCAACCTGGGACTTGGTCACATATGGCAGCAGGGTCTACAACACATTATGCTTCCAATATCTTCCCAGGCAGTAGTACCTCCCTGTTTGGTAGCTGCCCACTACCTGCTTGAGAAGATAGATGATACACAACACTGTTCTAAGAGACCTTGTTATGCTTACCCTGATGTCCTCAAAAACTCAATATTTCCCTGACTAACTATTAAGCACCTACAGTTGCTTGGGATCTCATGAAGGTGAGGTAACCAAGCTTATTTCACCTGACAATTAAATACCATTCAACTAAGTGGGAGAGGGGGGGGGGTTGGCTAGGTTAGGTTAAGCAAAGTTAAGGTGTAAGTTAGGTTAAATTAGGTTGGCTTAGCTTTGTATGTTATAAGTTATGTTATGTTGCGTTATAGCTAAGTTAAGTAAGGTTAAGTTTTGTTAAGTTATGTTAGGCTATAAGTTAGGTTAGGTAAGTGTATAAGTTAAGTTAGGTTAACAATCAGGTAATTGATCATCAGGGGAACTAAGTTAGGGTTCCTAGTACAGTACAGTACTGTATTCAAGAGATTCATTGTTTGTTACATACTCACTCTGAGCAGATTTTGCATGTGTGATGCACCACTCCACTGTGTTCTGCCTTCCCATGATCATCTAAGAACTTCTTGGGGGAGAATATCTTCGGACAACGTGGACACGGGCAGCTTCTCCTGTGGGTCTTCACGTGCTTCCACAGATCTCTGCGAGAATTAGTCTTCCCACAGAGCTTGCATGTCACCTTCTTTCGTTTGACCACACGTGACTTAAAGAGTTGGGCCATTGATCTTTGTTCAGCAAACGATTTGTCACCGTGTTCATAATTGTACGGCAGATCCTCTGACAATGCAAAGGAAGTGTATGTGTTAGACAAGACGGCCAAGGTGTTATGACAATGGCCGGTCCCCGAGAATATGACTCTCGGTGAACACAATACATAATATGATGACATTCTACATAAAATCCCACAATAGAACTGAGGCACATGACTAGAAATCAATAAAAATGTAGAAAACAATAAGATTTTTTCTATACCACATGTAAAAAGTTTATTAAGTTTCCTTATCACATCATAAGATACACTTCATCAACTGTGTGTGTGTGTGTAAAGAACTGTCAGCACCAAACCATATCAGAACTGTCAGCACCATACCATATCAGAACTGTCAGCACCAAACCATATCAGAACTGTCAGCACCAAACCATATCAGAACTGTCAGCACCAAACCATATCAGAACTGTCAGCACCAAACCATATCAGAACTGTCAGCACCAAACCATATCAGAACTGTCAGCACCAAACCATATCAGAACTGTCAGCACCAAACCATATCAGAACTGTCAGCACCAAACCATATCAGAACTGTCAGCACCAAACCATATCAGAACTGTCAGCACTCAACCATATCAGAAGTCAGCATCAAACTGTGTCCTAACTGTCACCACCAAGCCTACAGTACATGTCCAAACTGTCAGCACCAAACCATGTCCAAACTGTCAGCACCAAACCATGTCCAAACTGTCAGCACCAAATCATGTCCAAATCTTGTGTGCTGGTTATTACTGAACACAACACCACCATACACCACACAACACCACCATACACCACACAACACCACCATACACCACACAACACCCCCATACACCAAACACCACCATACACCACACAACACCACCATACACCACACAACACCACCATACACCACACAACACTCCATACACCACACAACACCACCATACACCACACACCACCATACACCACCATACACCACACAACACCACCATACACCACACAACACCACCATACACCACACACCACCATACACCACACAACACCACCATACACCACACAACACCACCATACACCACACAACACCACCATACACCACACACCACCATACACCACCATACACCACACAACACCACCATACACCACACAACACCACCATACATTTATATCCTCTTGTTTATTCCCTTCCCATGTAGCACCTTCCTCCCTCCATAGTAAAACAGTAATAATCCTCCGTGTGAATAAGTCATCTTACCTTCGTGTTCTCGGACGTCAGAAGTTCTCTGTGATGTCTTGGTACAGCGTCCAGAGCTCTCTTTAGAATAAACATCATCTTGAGGTATTTTCAGATTGACTTGATGGTGATGGCGTTTGAGAGTTTCAGGTGAAGAGTAAACTCTTTGAGACTTGGTGCGTCTGAGGAGGAGAGAGAGTGTGAACCACTCCACATGATACTGTACTTTATTAGGTTAAGGATGTGTTTTACATCTACTCTACTGTGTCTTTAAATAAAAAAATCCGTATAAGCACGAACACTTAAGTCTCTGAACCCGTTAACCTGAAAACAACACAGAACTTGAAGTGTCGTCAGATGTTTACTGTTTTACAAGGATCGTGTCCTCTGGTGTCTCCTGTTACCTTGGCCACACTATTAATACTTTCAACTCTATCATCAAAATCTGACCAAAATAAAATTGACATTCTAACAATTCTTCCCCTGTAAAACAAACAGTATTCTTAACTATGAAAAATGGCAAAAAGGTAATAATAATTACAGTACTGTTTAACATAAAGTCACGACTCCACAAATAGAATCCCTAGATTCATTAAGATTGTTTTAAGACGAAGAAAACTTTCTTTCTTACAAGATCAATGTTAACAAACAGACTAACGTGATGATGAACACAGTCTCATTGTTCAGCGTCTAGATGAAGAAGACACAATACAGCAAGTGTGACCTTACTTACCTATTCTTTACTGAAGTCTTGTCCTCTACGGCTCCTCCACAACTGCTGCTACACACACCACTGCTGTCACTCTCAACACTGCTGGCACACTCAACACTGCTGGTTGAAGCTTGTAAATGTTTACTAATTTTCTCACCACCAATATTATCTTTCTTAACATCCAATGGTTTAGAACATTCTAAATTACATTCGCCACTAACAATCTTCCTCAAACCTAATGTCACAGACCTTTCCACATTAGTACCCAGTCTTCTTACACTCAGATTGTTATTGCTGTTCTCATAAGTGTCTCTACGTAGTTTTAATTCAGTCGTATCTGCCATGCTGGTACCCCACTTTGGTATTGTCTGTAATGAAAGGGAAATTAGTTAGCTTTTGAAAACAAAAATCACATACAGGATATATATATATATATATATATATATATATATATATATATATATATATATATATATATATATATATATATATATATATATATATATATATATATATATATATATATATATATATATATACACACACACACACACACACACACTCAGGTTCTTCTATATATATATGTATATATATATATATATATATATTAATATATATATATATATATATATATATATATATATATATATATATATAACCCTCCATTAACGAACTCAATCCGTTCCAGAAGGTCGTTCGTTAACCGAAAAGTTCGTTAACCAAAACCATTGTTTCAATGGGTTTTTGGGTAATTGGTTCCACCTCACCGAAAATTTCCTAAATTCAACAAAAATGGTAGAAAAGTACACTTACTTTGAGGTGTGTATGTAGAAGGCTCCTGGATGATGATGATGATGGGAATTAGAATGGGGATGAAGGAGAAGGAAGAAGAAAAGGCATTGGGGTGGAAGAGAAGTCACCCCATGGCGCCATTTCACCCATAAAATTTTAGTTCTCTCGGTGTATTTCAAGATTATTTTCTTTATATCAACACGGCACTGCATTATATATTGTCAATATGTAAAATATATTTCAAAATGACCAATAATTTGCTTGCAAACACAGAAAAAAAGCATTTAGTTGAAGAGAGTCTCAAGCAAGATGTTACCTCCAGTGAAAACAGAGAGAGACTAACTCCTGTTTGCTGTGTTAAGAGGCTGGATGCCGCGCATTAAACTAGTCACTTTACCTTCAATTATGTTCAATAATTGTTAAAATGACTAAAAAATTGAATATTAAACTTTTAAAATTATTGAATAGTATAAACTTCTTGATATTTACTAAAATAGTAAGGAATTTAAGCCCTAGAACCGATTAATGTATTGGCGGACTGATACTAAAGCTGGTTGCCCGGTCAGTGCAAGCGAAAACATGTTGAGGTCGGTTCGTAAGAACTTCGTTAACCGAATTTTTTTCGTTAACCGAATTGAAGATCCTTATGGAAGGCAGTTCGTTAATCGAAATTACGTTAACCGAGGTGTTCGTTAAACGAGGGGTCACTGTATATATATATATATATATATATATATATATATATATATATATATATATATATATATATATATATATATATATATATATATATATATATATATATATATATATATATATATATATATATATATATATATATATATATATATCTTCATTTTTATACCTAGCCAATTACTACACTGATGGAAAGATACATCGGCAACGCCATCTTCACACGACACACTTATGCCAATTCATCTCTAGTTGTGTTCCTACATAGATTACTGTACTGGATAGTGAGAGACAACATCAGACAGGGAGAATGAATGAGTTTTGTTCTAATACACAACAATACGGGACACTCAAAGATCATAGTGTGTACATATGGAGGAAGTTTTGAGAGATATTGGTGTTACGATGTTATTACTGAGCTTCAACAACTTAGGCCTTTAAGTATGTAACAAGGTTAGTGATTGAATTGCTCCATTAACAAATAAATGAGACTTAAATGCATAGTACATAATGATGGCTGTCCCAGAGGCCCTTGCGAAATGAGACACAGACCTGCATAATAAAAGAAGGTCTAAAGTGCATTCATAGACAGTAAATGATAACCATTCATCTCTTGTCAACTGTTATCTCCACTTTTTTAAATAATTTGCACCACTAATCATCTTACTAGTCGTTCGGGCGGCACCAGCTCAGCCTACCGGACAGGAGGGAACGAGCGCCGTGTAAACAATGACATTTTTAACCACACCCTGCAAAATACAGTGTACTTAGCAAATGCTGCAGCATCTGAGAATGTGGGTGGAGCGGGTTTATTACTAAGAGCAGAGACGTTACCGAGAACAAATTCTGGCTTGAATGTCATGTACACTAATACTGACACGTTCCTTGATAAGAGAGAGGAGTTTGAAACACTACTAAGAGTACACCAACCAGATATTGTAGGAGTTGTAGAACTGTTGTACAAGAACAGGAGAATCGACCCAGAGGAATGTGAGTTCAGTATTGCTGGATATGACTCATTTACGAACCTAACTCAAGAATCCTGCAGGAGGGGTGTGGTTATCTACGCTAGGCAAGACCTTAGAGCCAGCCAGGCGAGGGTACAGGGAGAGGATGTTTTTGAAGAGTCCAAGTGGTGTAAAATTAAATTAAAGGGAGGGGACTTACTTATCGTCGGGTGTATCTACAGATCCCCAAACTGTGGCCCACTAAATCAAAGGAACTTAAGAACCTTAATAAACAATGCGGCGATGCTCAACCCCAGCCACCTCCTTATCATGGGGGACTTTAACTATGGCGACATCGACTGGAGAAACGAGTCCACCCCGAATGACTTGAATAATCCTGCTACTCTTTTTGTAGAAACTCTGAGAGATAATTTTCTGTTCCAACATGTGAGAGACCCGACACATTACAGAGAGGAGCAAACACCCAAGCCACTAGACCTCATCATGACAAACGAGGAGGGTATGGTGGCCAAACTGGAACACCTTGCCCCAGTTGGCACCAGTCACCATACAGTGTTGTCATTCAGATTTAACTGTTACCTAGTTCAAGATAAGGCCAGGCCAAGGTGCAAATATTACAAGGGAAATTACAATGGGATGAGGGAAGAGATGAGGGGAATCAACTGGCCTGACTTATTAAGGTACAAGAACGCAGACACTACGCTGAATATCATAACTAGTAAAATGACCCATTTGATCGATAAATATATACCCAAGACCAAACCCAGTGCTTCTAGGAATACGAGGGGATCCCTACACATGAACCATGCGGCGGTCGACAAAATTAAGAAGAAAACCCAGAAATTCAAGACGTGGGTTGGGTCAAACGATGAGCAAGACAGGAGGATGTATGCAAGAGCCAGAAACCAAGCAAAGATAGAGTGTAGGAGGGCTGAAAAGGAGTTCCAGAGGCTGGTTGCACGCGAGGTCAAGTCAAACCCAAAGGCGTTTTACCGCTATGCAAAGTCGAAATTGAAAACGCGAGTAGGAGTATCAGACCTGAGGCTTGAAGATGGTAGTTACGCAGATTCTGACCAGGATAAAGCTGAGGCATTGAACAGCTTCTTTTCCTCAGTGTTCACAAGAGAGGATGCAACTAACCTTCCTGCGTTTGAGGACAGACGGTTCGACACAGCACTGACCCACATTGTGTTCACAGAAGAGGGTATTAGAAATAAACTGTCCAGGCTAAAGGTCCATAAGAGTCCCGGACCTGACATGGTGCATCCTAGAGTGCTAAGAGAGCTGTGCAACGAGCTTGCAGAGCCCCTGAAGATTCTGTTTTGTAAATGCCTGGATGAACAAATGGTCCCCAGTGAATGGAAAGTGGCTTATGTGAGTCCTATCTTCAAGAAGGGCGATAGTCACTCCACGAACAACTATAGACCGGTGAGCCTGACCAGCATAATATGTAAAGTACTTGAGAGTATTATCAGAGATGCCGCGATGGAACATCTACTACGAAACAACCTTGTAAAAGATTGCCAACACGGTTTTATGCCGGGGCGCTCTTGCTTGACACAATTGCTCAAGGTATTGGATATTTGGACCCATATTCTAGAACGGGGTGGTAATATCGACAATATTTACCTAGATTTTGCCAAGGCTTTCGACAGTGTACCCCACGAAAGGCTGAAAATCAAACTGGAAGGGTACGGAATTCGGGGAAATGTCCTAGCATGGATAGAAGACTTTCTACATGACCGCAAGCAATGTGTGGTGATTAATGGCACGAAATCGTCATCTGTACCTGTAACAAGTGGGGTACCACAGGGTAGTGTATTGGGCCCGCTGTTGTTTGTTTGTTTCATAAATGACATGCCTGACGTTGTACACTCCTCCATACAAATGTTTGCCGATGATGGCAAGTTATTTCGGGAAATTAAGAACCAAGTGGACTGTGAAGAGCTGCAGAAGGACCTCTGTGGGCTCCAGGAATGGTCGAAGGAATGGCTGCTGAGATTCAATGTCACGAAGTGTAAGAGGATGCACCTGGGGCGTACCAACGGTAAGGAGGCGTATCATATGTCCCAACGGGATGAAGAAAATGTACTAGTTGAGACTGTGTGTGAGAAGGACCTAGGTGTGTATGTTAACAATGAGCTGAAGTTCTCGGGCCATTGTGAGAAGAAGGTAAATCAGGCAAATAAATTATTGGGTCTTATAAGAAGGTCGTTCAGATATCTAGACGGTCCGTCCCTCGTGACGATCTTCAGGAGTGAAGTGCTTCCCCATCTGGAGTACTGTCACCCCATCTGGTCCCCGAGATATGCTAGGGACTGTCAGTTGGTTGAAAATGTTCAAAGGAGGGCCACCAAACTGGTGCCTGCACTTCGGCACCTCAGCTACCCTGAGAGATTGGAGCGCCTGAACTTGCCTAGCTTATACTACAGACGGGCAAGGGGGGACCTAGTTGAGGTGTATAAGCATCTCAGGGGGCACTACTCAGTTGAGTGTCCTTACTTGGAGCTGGCGGACGCTCGCCCCACAAGGGGTCACAGCTCAAGATTGAAGAAGCCGCAAGTCCAGAAAACCGTGAGGGCAAACTTTTTCGGAGTGAGGGTTGTGAACTCTTGGAACAATCTACCAGAGAGTGTTGTGACGGCGCCGAGTGTGAGCTCTTTCAAGAGGAGACTTGACCAGCACTGGAGCGGGTTCAGGTACATTCAGGAGCCGGTGCATGCCAAGTATTTGCCAACAGTGCGTGACAGAGACGTGACCGATCGCCCGGGCGGCTAGCGAGCCGATCTTTCAGTGAAGAATATAAATGAAAAGAGACGTGACCGATCGCCCAAGCGGCTAACAAGCCGATCAGTGTCGAAGAGGATAAAAGTAAAAAGTAAAAAGCGTTTGTACAGGAGGAAACCCAAATATAGGAAACCTGTCATATTTAGTAGTGAGCGTCACACTGGCTAACACCTTTCTCACATGTGTCCAGGCCAAGTAGGAGTCAAACCATTGACATATTGGTGAGAGATACTCACATTACTGCTATACTGTACCACCAACACCTCCAAGGTACAACAACACTAATAATAATAATAGTTGGTCTTTTTTCCCTCAATAGTGCCAATTCTTCTAAAGAATTCATTAGTGCTCAGAACAAAACACAGTTAAGGACGTGAGAACAAAAGGAAATACAAGGCGTACTGTACTACAAACAAATGTGAGTTTAACTTTTATCCTTCTTATACAATACCCTTAAGGTGTAACACTTCCTAAACCCTGTACTGTATTTCTCCATCACTGTACACTGTTCAGGATCATAAGCTTCCAAAAAAGAAAGGTCTCAAGTTGTTACTTAAAGGCCTCCATGCTTCAAACATGCAGACATGACTGTACAATCTGGGTGCTGTATAGGAAAAGGATCAGGCAGCAAAAGAACATTCCTGTACTGCTCTAGGCCCCTCAGGGTGTGAAGGATCATCACTACTACACAGAATCATACTCATTCATATCCACATGCAATATACAATAGTCTACTATCCTGTACAAGTACAAAAAATTATAAAAAAATCCTCAGTTCTGGAGTAAATTCAATGTTAGTTACTGTAATGTATATACCAAACAGGTAACATACTTACACAGTCTTTCATTTCTGAGTCTTCTTCTTTCTGAAGTTTGGTACTTTCAATACTCTCTTCATCGGCAGCCTCAGAATGTGCCAAAAGATGAGGACAGTTCCCTGGAGAGTTTCTATTTTTTCTTGCTGTTGTCGACGCCGTGGCCTCACACAGCTCTGTCATCATTACAGAACTGGGACTCTGGGTCACCGACCTTGATCCTTCTTTTATAAGAAACTGAAGCCGAGGTTTTGATTCTTCCTCTTGCAGTACATGATCAGCTTCAGTATTTATTGGGATTTTATCTTGAGAATATTCTATATGAAATACAGTTCTATCAAAGTAAGAACAAATAACTGTACCAGACCTGTGTACTAGTGAGCAACATCCATTATATACCATCTCTAAAAATCCTTCTATGAATTTGTGATTTGCATCTATCATTACAATCAAGGAATGCTCACCTGTTGGTTCCTGTGCAATTATATCGTGAATTACCGGAGAGGCAGCACAGAGAAGAGCCTTGTGTGCCGACAATCTCTTTTTCTCAACTAGAAATGTAACATCCGCCTTCTTCTCCCCATCATACAGCTGGCGTAGTCGGCTCCACACACTCTCTGACGACGACTTTATATGAGCTTGTAGTTTCAGGTAATCAAACTGTTCTTCACTCTCCATTTGAGATTCTTGATGGATATATCGTTTGGTGGCTTTCATCAGACTCTTGACCTCCAGTGAGGAGCAAAGCTTATGGAAAGCTAGAAGATGAGACTCCATGACAGTAGCTTCACCATAATACATGTAAGTAATAAGATTCTGGGCGTTCATCATGTTAACACTTGGCAGGTGTATCATTCCAATTCTGCCATTCTCCTGGAATGTCTCTTGAAGAACTGAACTACAAGCACTGAGGATGAGCTTGTGAGCTCTGATGATGTGTTTGTCTACCAGGAGAGAGACATCAGTACACAGCTGATAAGAACACATAAACTGAAATGCTTTTATTAACATCTTCTCATAACCTTTCCAATATAGTGTGTGGACATTGTTCTTATAACTTGAGTGGATATACTGTGTATTATCCAGGTCCAGAGCTCTCACCACCGCCATCACCTCCTTTAACAATGGGAAAGGTGATGTTGCAGATCCACAGTATATAAGAGACTTCACAGTAGAAACCAGTTCTGGTGATGCTTGAAAACCCAGGAGAAGGTAGTGAATAACTTGGGTATCCTGAAAAAGAGATAAATAATAATTCTAGTATTCATTACAGTATTATCATCATAAATATTTTATGGCCATTTCTCACACTTGTGCGGGTTAATCATGATTACTTGATGGCAGCTCTGCAGGGTCTCATGTAGCCCCTCTTGTCAAATTCTCTAACTATAATCTCACTTTCTACAACCTCTCCCCATGTCATTCTTGGACTACCCCAAGTTCTCCCCCACCCACCTCTTGATGCTGTTGTTCTCCTCCATTCTCTCCACAGACAAGTGGGTGATGTAACATTTTCTGAAGACATATAATAATAAAATATATCCAGGTAGACTGTTATCTGGCCAAAACTTTCCAATTCTATCCCTGTAAAGTTCTTACTGTCTTGATAGGAATGATTTAACTCTTGGTCTCATAATAACTTCACTTGCAACACTTAATCAACCATAACCAAAGACAAATTCTTATACAGAAATATAAAAAGTTTTTTAAAGTGATTTTCCACTGCCTGTACAGTAGCAGGAAACACACTCCTCTTGTTCATATACAGTAGCTGTGTTCTGCCCTACAACAAGTTCCCTCATCTACTTCACACAAGCCACCATGAACCTGACTCACACAAGGAGGTCAGTATTGTGCAGACTATTACTGGCTCAAAGAATGTGATCATCTTGACATATCCTCGGCCACAAGGACTGTACTGTACAAACTACAGTACTTCAAACACACAACCTCCCATAATAATAACTGCTGGGTACTATACTGTATATTAGTACCTCTACTGTACTGTACTCTCTCTGTTAAGTTTTTTACATTTATAACTGTACTTCATCATTGCTTTCTGAAAATATATTACCTTTTTTTTTTTAGTATTAATGATTACAATACAATGCTTTTACAAACAATGTATTTTCATCTTACAAGTACAATACTTTACTGTCCACAGTTATGTCTATTTCACAGCAGATATAATAGTCTTAACACATACAAAGTACAGTACTCAGACTCACCTTACCTACTATGTTAACCCATTATGTACATAATATTCGTCCACCATACAATACTGTACCTGATTCATCACCGTATTTAGATATTCCCTCCAGGAAGAACTGAGCGCCGCCAGCAGTGTAGCGTGTACGGTCATCTCCTCACCAATACGAATGTGAACCTCAGGCTGGGGACCACAGCAAGTTCCTTTATGACTCACACCCATACCCTGCAAGGCTTGCATGAGGTTTGATGACAGCTCATCCCAATGAAACATCAGTGTACTCTTCACGGGCGAGTCTTTAACTCCTCCCACACCCTTTTTGTGTTCAGTCTCCATCATACAGTACACTACCTGCAAGTACAGTATTAAAATCCATAAATACATTCAGTTCAAATTACATTATAAACTGCCACAGGAAGCATTGCAGTCCCACCATTAACACGTTACAGTAAGATGTTGTTATTAACTACTGCACAGATGTTTGAGTACTTTACATTGTTCGGGGTTAGATCCATTAAGGTGTATTTAGTCAATTTTGCAAAATAGTGAGTATACTGCCATCTCCATCCACCAATGACAAACTTAGTAAAAGCTCAAACACCTTGAAACTAAGCAATGTGTTAGGTTAGGTTAGGGTAATTATTGACGACTGACCCGAGGCCTATTTTTCAGATAAAACACTTATAAAAATGCTGCAATTTCACTGTGATTTATAGTGGACACTGTTGTAGTTTGTGCAAATGTGTTAAAATGTTGATATGAAAAACAAGTAGCAGAAAGAACTTACTATGATATGGTGTAATTTTATGTTTTTCGTGGACGTGAGAGCAGCCACTCGTACCGAACGGTTCATTAGCATACACTGAGCATCAACGTTGATCCGGCCTGGGCGGCAGAGTGTTTTGAAATATGTCAATATGATCGGCTGTTTACATCCTGGGATGAGACGTCACCGCCACATTACCGCCGAGAAGACAAAGTAGTCGCACCAAGGTGCCTAATTATCTACCAAACGAAGCATTTGCACAAGAAATGATTATTATATCAGAACTCACTGAAGAAAATAGAGTAAGAAAATAAACAGTAATATAAATAACTCGTCCACAGGTCAGTTGTCAATATTACCCTAGGTTAGGTTTGGTTGGTTAGGTTATATTCCAAACTATGTATTTCCGACGGCTTTATGTGTTTTAAACTCGTTGCCTTCATTTTTACAGCAAATCTCTGGATTCTGAGATAGGATGGGGCTATCTCAGAAACTATTGATGTGCGCCATATGTGAAAGTCAAATTCATACAAAACATAATTTAAACTTTGATTTCGTATAGTGGCAACAAGTGAAATTTTACCACCTTACCTAATTTCCTAGCTGAGGGACAGACCCCCCATCAATTTAAACAGAAACGAAAATACTTAGCCAATCAGAGCGCACTCATGGTAAAATAGCGTTAGTAGGAACTTAGCCGGTCACTGCAAAATATCCACTTCGTAAGTATTTCACAGAATTTCTTCAGTGTTACAGAAACAGTATTTGGGTACTACAGTGGTCCCTCGGTTAACAAATGCCTCGGGTAACGAAATTTCGGTTAACGAATTACCTTCCATAAGAATCTTCATTTCGGTTAACGAACAAAAATTTGTTTAACGAAATTCTTACAAAAATGTTTCGACATGCTTTGGCTTGCTCACCAGCTGGAAGATTAGTCCGCCAATACAGTAATCGGTTCTAGGGCTTACATTCATTAAAATTGGAGTTTTATATCAAAATTTTTAGTCATTTTAACACTTATTTAACATAATTGCTGTACAGGGAACTAGTTTTTGGTGCGCCCATCAGCCACTTCACTCACCCACCAAGGCATCAGTTTGTGTCTCTGTTCAGTGTTGGAAACATCTTGCTTTTGGGTCTCTTGAACACAGAATATTTTTAAGTTTTTACAGTACAATTATTGGCCATTCTGAAATTTAACATATTGACAATATATAGTGCAGTGCAGTGTTGATTTAAAGAAAATAATCTTGAATTACACCAAGTGAACTTAAAATTTTATGGGTGAAATGAAGGCATGAAGCATGGGGTGATTTCCACCCCTACTTCCTTCTTATCTCCCTTCTCCACCCCCACTTCTAATTCTCATCATCAGCATCATCAACCAGGAGCCTTCTACATACACACCTCAAAGTAAGTGTACTTTACTGCATTTTTTTTTTTACTTTGTATGTAATTTTCGGTGAGCTGGAACCAATTACCCAAAATCCCATTGAAACAATGGTTTTGGTTAACGAACAACCTTCTGGAACGAATTGTGTTCGTTAACCGAGGGACGACTGTATTTTACTTTCGGACATAATGCCCCTGAAAGTTACAAGCTACTGCAACAATTAGATCTCGCTATTCTGAGCATTTTGAACTCCCATATATACATGGCGGAAATGGATAATAGCGACACAATTTAATTTAATCGATTTCATATACTTTTCAGTCTTCGTTTGTGAGATGTTATCGGCGTGAAATCGAGTTAGTAATGATTCATGCATGTGTAATATTGACTGCCATCATCCAGTTGTGACCAATGATGTATTGACATCATCCTGCAATTGTTTTTTACAAATCACATTTGAATTTTTCAAAGCAGCCCGAGTACGGATTTGAAATTCAATGACCAGTCTGACAATGGTCGTGGTCGAGGTTGGGTGTTAATCGTGCTGCTACAATTATTTTAAGTTTATTGCTGAATTTTACGAGAAAGACGGACAAGCTATACAATTCCTACGTAATCACGGTGTTCTCCCTACGCCTGTTGAGTGCCCGCACTGTAAATTGCCTTGTAAATTTAGAAAGGAGAAGCATCATTGGTTCTGTAAGTGGCCAAGGAGGTTCGTAAAGAAGAAGAAGAAAACGAAGATGTTCCAAAACGTTATCTCAGACTATAACGGCACTTTCCTCGATCATACACACTTACCTCCGTGGAAGCTTGTGATTTTCGTTAATCACTGGCTCCAAAAGTGCTGGCATCATGAGACAGTTATTGAGTGCCTACAATTGTCATCTAGAACGAGCGTGGACTGGCGTAGTTTCTACTCTGAGGTAACTTTACAATGGCTTGACAACCACGAGTGCATTGGTGGTTGATGGTGTCGTGGTTGAGATTGGCGAGACATTTTTCATCGAGCAACAGTATGAGCGAGGTCGTCCGTTGAGTACGGTGTGGCTGTCTGGGGGCAATAAGAAAAAGTTTATTTTGCCCCTAAATGAAGTAAACCAGAACAGATCGGCGAGGACACTGATTCCTCTTATTAAACGCTACATTCGTCCTCGGAGCATCATTGTTAGCGATGAATGGAAGGCCTACTCATCACTGCAGTCTGAGGGTTTCACTCATTGGGTGATTAACTACTCTGAACAATTTGTGGACCCCAATGACCCTCGAGTGCACACCCAGACCATCGAACGCTTATGGGGTGACGTCAAGGAGTGGACCAAGAGACCTGGGATGAAGAGCGAGTACTTCCAGCAGTACTTCAGTGATACCTCTTCCTGGGTCAACACCCTTCAGATCGTCACCATCGGTTCTTTACCACAGACTCTACCCACCTGAAGGACCAAGAAACCACCCTCGCCAGGAACGTGCTGCACCTGTGTCACTCTAAGAAGGGTCCGACAAGGAGGAGGTCATTGACCCTGAACCTATCCCTGGTCCTTCCACTTCTAACTAAGGTGTTGTACTTTCGGACATGGTGTGCCCCAATGTTTATAACTACTGAAACATTTAGGTTAGTTTAGGCTAGAAGACTCGTTTTCGTGTTCTCCCCCACCCAAAACCCCGATTTCCCAGGCTCTTCCCCATTGTTGTTGGTGGATGGGGGGGGGGCTAGCAATTTCTGCCCAAAATGAAGGTCAGATTCGCTTAAAATACACCAAAATATACTGGAAAAATCATATTGGTCAACCCATAGGGACTCATGTCCGAAAGTAAAAATTTACCTCAGCAAACATATTTTAAACTTTGATTTCGTATAGTGGCAACAAGTGATATTTTACCACCTTACCTAATTTCCTAGCTGAGGGACAGACCCCCCATCAATTTAAACAGAAAAGAAAATACTTAACCAATCAGAGCGCACTCACGGTAAAATAGCATTAGTAGGAACTGTAATGATTGTTTATCAGACCATAGCTTACAGCCCAGAGAAATACAACACATATAATAGTAAGTAGATGAGCAGGTGTACACCCATAAGTTGACACACCCTACAGTGACAGTAAGACCTGACGCAGGAGAGGTCACAGACAAGGTACTTAGGTTAACCTGTGACCGTGTTAAAGAAACCACACCTTGCCAAGACACACCCGGGTGGTAGTAATTAGGAAGCATTACCGACCTGCGACATGACCGCGCACCCGGGCAAAAACAGATGTCCAGACCTGAATCAAGGGAGGTCAAGTTCACAAGGGAACCAGAACTGCTAACCAGCCAGCACTTCTGTTACCCGACCTAACACCCGGTCAAGACACACCCAGTTTAGTGAGATTTCCAATATATAGGCCCTGCAGCCCCTTCCACGACGATCACTTTCACATCACTATCGACAGAAGACAGAGTCACGCTCGTCACTAGTCGAGGAGGGAAAGGAGACTTCCCTTCCCAGCACCGCGTCTCCAGCTAGCAGAGTCTCCCAAGGTAAACATAGTCCAGCACTCCCTTCAACAGCCACTTAGCTGAGTCACAGCAAAATATCCACTAAGTAAATATTTCACAGAAATTCTTTAGTGTTACAGAAACAGTATTTGTCCGTATAATTTAGATTTTGGGGGCCCATTGTTCTCATTTTGTAGCAAATTTTTACTTTAGGACATGAGTACCGATGGGTTAACCAAAATGTTTTTCCAATATATTTTGGTGTGTTTTAAACAAATGTAACCTTCATTTTGGGGCAGAAATTGCTAGTTTTTGCCCCCCCCCCCCAACAATAATGGGGGAGAGCCTGGGAAATAGAGGTTTTTGGGTGGGGGAGAAAATGAAAACGAGTCATCTGACCAACAAAACCTAACCTAACTAACTTAACATCAATCTGACCCCTAGCCGAGGGCTCTGCCCCTGGACCCCCGGTAGGCCTAGCTTAAACTAACCTAAATGTTTCAGTAGTTCAAAACTTTGGGGCGCACCATGTCCGAAAGTACAATACCTTAGTTAGAAGTGGAAGGAATCAGGTAAGAATTGGATGGAATGATCGTCTTTCTCGTAAGACCCGGCAATAAACTTTAAATAATCATAAGAGCACAAACGACAACCAACCTCCACCACGGTCATTGTGAAACTGGTCAATGAAATTAGAATCGCACCCAGGCTGCTTCCTTTGAAAAAATCGAATGTGGTTGGTAAAAAAAAATTTGTGTGATATCAATAACTGACTGGTCACGACTGGATAAAGCCAGTCAACACTGCACATGAGTGCAGAACCTAACAAGACAGGTAAAAACAGAAATTAGGAAAGCAAAGAGAAATTATGAAATCAAGGTAGCAAACGAATCGAAAAATAAACCCAAAGCTTTTTATCAACTGTATAAATCAAAGGTTAGAGATACAATAGGTCCCCTTAAAACTACGACAGGAGAAATGACTGATGATGAGTTAGAAATGTGTAGTACGTTAAATAGTCATTTTCACCAGATCTACAAATGAAAACCTAGCACAGTTTCAAGTTCATATATATAACGCATAGAAAATATGTTAATGAATATCAATATTACTAGTAACGATGTGCTTAAAGTAATTAACAAACTGAAGCCTCATAAATCGCCTGGTCCAGACGAGGTATATGCTAGAATATTAAAAGAATGTAGAGATGAGTTGAGTAATCCATTAGCAGTTTTATTTAATAAGTCATTAGAATCGGGCCTAGTGCCAGAAGCTTGGAAACTTGCAAATGTAGTTCCGATTTTAAAAAAAGGTGATAAATCAATTGCATCAAATTACCGTCCCATTAGTCTCACGTCAATCATAGGCAAGTTGCTAGAGTCAATTATTGCTACGAAAATCAGAAGCCACCTTGAAACATCCAACTTAATTCATTCTTCTCAGCACGGGTTCACCCAGGGACGTTCTTGTCTCACAAATTTGCTTAGCTTTTTCTCAGAAGTATATGAAGCGGTAGATAATGATAAGTCATATGATATAATTTATTTAGATTTCAGTAAAGCATTCGATAGAGTCCCTCATGAGAGATTGATAAGGAAGGTAGAAGCACATGAAATAGGTGGATCAGTATTAAAATGGATTAGGTCATGGTTAACTGGTAGGAAACAAAGAGTCAGCATAAATGGATTAAAGTCAGACTGGGGTGTGGTCAAAAGCGGAGTTCCCCAGGGATCTGTATTAGGCCCTCTGCTGTTTGTTATATTCATTAATGATCTTGATTTAGGCATAACTAGTAGGATTAGTAAATTTGCAGATGATACCAAAAATGAGAGTGATAAATTCAGACAGTGACTTTGAACACCAAAGAGATCTAGGATATCTTTACATGAGTGGTGGGTCAGTAGATCTGGCAAATGAAATTTTAATACTGATAAATGCAAGTACTACAGATAGGGGAAGACGAATACAAACGTTAAGTATAAAACTAGGTAACACGGAAATAGAAAACTCCAGTTTGTGAAAGATTCAGGTGTATTTGTTAGCAACGACTGAAACCCAGAAAATAATGTATTAGCGTTCGCAACAAGGCAAAACAGGATTCTTGTCTATATCTAGGTCTGTGAGTAAATAGAACTGCTGACGTTATCTTGAAACTTTACCTAGCATTAGGAGGCCACACATGGATTATGTGCGGTCTGCCCTGGTGTCCTTATTACATAGAATGACACAGATTCTTGGAGAGAGTACAAAGAAGAATGACAAAATGATCCATAATATTAGAAACCTTCCATATGAAGAAAGACTGAAAAGCTTAGGCTTACATTCATTAGAGAGGCGTAGAGTTAGGGGAGATATGATAGAGGTGTACAAGTGGGTAAGTGGGATTAATAAGGGTAAAATGGAAGATGTTCTGAAGCTCAGTAATAACGAAATAACTAGAACAAATGGCTTTAAATTAGATAAATTCCGGTTCAGAAAGGATATAGGCAAGCACTGGTTTGGTAATAGAGTTGTGGATATGTGGAATAGCCAATATGCTATAGTAGGATCGGGGGACGCCAGCTTCAAGACGAAGTTGGATAGGCACATGGACGTGCTGGGATGGGTGTGAAAGGGATCTGCCCTGTATGGGCCAGTCGGCCTCCTGCAGTATCCCACTTTCTTATGTTCTTGTGCCACATCTCCTCACAGATGAAAACTGAAAACTACTTAAAATCAATTAAATTAATTTATGTCGCTATTATCCATTTCCGCCAGGTATAAATGGGGTTCAAAATGCTCAGAATAGGGAGATCTAAATGTTTCAGTAGCTTATAACTTTAGGGGGCGTTATGTCGGAAAGTAAAATAATACCCATTCTGAACAGGGCCTGCATAGCCCTAATGGCCCCAGTGGTCTAACGTAACAATCGCGTCTCTGTTACACACTGTTGGCTCCAGGATGTTCTGCCTGGGCCAGCTATAAACAAATAACCTCGTAAGTGTTGATACTCACCTCTTGTCCTCCTGTAATACAAACTATCAAGGGAGGTAACCAGTCTGAGGCACACGTGAACAGCTGCTCGTTGACTGCTGTGTGGCGCCTCACTAAACGTTTGTTGACTTAACTACAAGCCTAACAGTACTTGACCATCACCCTCGCCTCTAACATCGAATATCTAACACTAAATTCTGAATGTAGTATATTAAAAAATACATTTGCTACTGTTAATTATCCTGTGTAATAAGCAGTCATATAATGGAATGTTAAAATAAGTTATATTGCCCTGTATCATTTTACTGATGTTACCTTTAAATTGTTCATTACGGGACTTTTCTTGTGAACTCGACAATTACTGTACTTACGTGATATGGTTTCCGGCATGGCGAATAGATTGGCGCTCTTTAAATTCTTTTCTGGGTTCTGCAAGAGATTTAATTTGTATTTTAGAACTGAAGAATACATAAAGAAATATATTACAGTCAATGGTACAGAGCTACCAACCAACCAGCTGTGTCAGCCTTCCTCTACCATCCATGTCAACCAAGCACTTTTAATACTGTATCATTTACTTAGTCTGGTGAAATACACAAAAAGAAGAATAACCTCAGAAATAAACATAGAGACTTGGGTTTCTTCTCTAACTTAAAAATTGTGTAATGACAATAATAGGTTTGTACAGTACTATATATCAAAATTGCCCTTTACAAAACTAACAAGAGTAATGGGGATCGTAAACAGATTACTGGCCTCCTTCTCCATTTTGGTCACCTCATGTTGGGTGGGTGGCCATTAGGTAAATAAGGAAAATATTTTGTATAACAAGAATGAATATACTTGAAGGTAAATCAATGCATGATATGGCGCTCCCATTGATGGTAACAAATCAACCAATGGCGCCTAAATCAGATTTTGTTTCAACAGGAAGCCGACTCTTTCCTACCCATTACAGTCATTATTACCAAGTACAGCTTTAATCATCACAAAATACTACTTGAGGTAAAAGGTATAAGGTATGACTTAAGAGATTCAGCATTAAACTTTTGACTTGCCTTTTTTTTTGGGGAAACGAGAGATCAACTTTTTCAAATCCTCTTGATATTGAGCCTGATACATATCCTTTTGTTCAGCTGGTAAATTCTTCAGGCCTCCAAAGCTAAAGCAAATACACTGGGCTAGAAAAAGAAAAGAGAGGTCAAGAATGATAATCTCCTACATAAAGACAGTCTATGATACAAGGTGAAGATATAAGGCAGAAAACTACAAAAAAAACAGGAATTAGAGAGGAGGAAAACCTTTATATGGTGTAAAACATTCTACCAGGAGCCTTCAGTAATTATGTTTATTCCTTCATCAATGCTGTACCAAGTCATACATATGATCCCCTCATCATTATCTCACTCTCTCTCTAAAACCCAACTTAAAATTTCATTGTCAATTTCTCTCATCAGTAAAATCTATTGTCAAAAGTCACACTGGTTTCACAATCAAGTGACAATTTTAACGTTCGTGCATCATAAAATGTGCGGGCCACGTCTCGTTCTCTTAATTCCGTGTATGTAACCTGACTGGTTATTGATCTTACACACCAGCCTATAAACTGCATGGTGTTAGTATGTGAACTGGCCTCCCGAGTGCCCCAGCCAACATTATATTCCTTGGATGTCCAGACTGTGGATACAGTAAAGCAACTGATAATGCTAAAGGCTTTCCTGTTTCTCTATTACTTATGCCACTATTATATGAGGTGGAACAAGGGTTTAAACAGCCTTGATAGATGCTGTTGATACATAAGAGCAAGTATAGAAAGTGACGGAGAGAATATGACAACACGGAATACCTCGCTATTTCAATCCCGCTTATTCCCAATTGATATTTTAAAGCCAAACTGTGCTATTGTTATTTTTCAACTTGTAACTTTGAGTAGATATGCTTTTTTACTGTTACATGCCACACAATTCTTTATACAGAATGTGAAAAAAATAAAATAAAAAATAAAATAATATATATACATTTATAATTAAAGAAACAATTATCATGAGATCAAGAGATAAACATTTCCCTCGTGTATGGGAGTTAGCTTGTGGATCGTGGGAGGAGGAAGAGAGGGGCTTAGGGACCTCAGCCGCTACTGTGTCCCCGTGTAGTGAAACTATTGTCAACTGGTAATGTGGTATTTTTGTATTTATTTTCTTATTTATTAGTATAATTTTATTTATTCCTCACATTTACTGATACAGTTGGAGAAATCCCTACAATCCCTGTGGTAGCCGAGTCTCCAAATGCAAGTCGCAATAGTAATTTCACTGTTTATGACTGAATGGGTATTGGTCGAGTAGAGATGGACGTGAATCATTCATAATTAGTGATACTAGTAGTACTGTGACATTGCTGTTTAGATATGAGTTACCACAGGGGATGGAGAATACATTTCCTCAACTGGACCTCAGATAATGAGGACTGTACTATTAAATAAAATATAGTGAAAGTTGCCAGCTGAGGCATCCCCTAATTACATCAATTAGTATGGGAAAATAGCCCTGATATTTGTAAATTTGTTGTTCGCTCATACTGCACTAACCCCCATCTTGAGTTTTACCAACTAAAACAGAAAATAAGGCCTCGAGAAGTCTTGAGCCTGGAAATAAGGTGATTACTCTTCATCATAGAGAATATTAGTTAAGAAAGATACCTGGTACACACACACAAAATAACAACTTTAGAATTAAGAAAGACAAATATATACAGTAAATAATAATTATGCAATATAAACTTACCCCCTTCACAGAGGATTTACTTAAAAGTCTTTAGAAAACGACTTATGGGTTGTCTAATCTTTTCTTTCTCGAGGCAAAGGACGACACTTTTTCTTCTGCCTCTTTATAATTGTCGCAAGTGTCTGAAAAATAGTAAGATTAAATAGAGCATTAGTTCAAAAGGTACCCACCCACCCACATATCAAGCTCTGGCTATAGCACACTGATGATCATTTCATATAAAAGTGTGAAGAGTTACAAATACATACAATGAAAGCTTATTAGGTTATTATTACATCTCATACTTACTTCATGGAATCTGAGAGTAAATCTCCATGAATCGCTTCTTGCAATTCTCTCAGTGGTCACCAAATGCCCTTCATCCCAATTAAAATTTTCAATCTGACCGACAATTCTTGGTGTCCTTCTTGAGTGAGAGCCTTCATCTTCTCAGCAGCTCTAGTTCCTCCTCCATAGTCCAGTTTTGACACTCTGTAAATAAACATTAGGTGCCAGTGTACAGGGGGAAACAATAATCATACCCATCAACATTCACTCAAGGGGTGAACACTACCTACTGAGCTATATGCCAGCAACACTGAATAACATCCACTGCTAAGGTGGTGTATTCCCAACTATGGACATGATTCACATTTGAGAATTGACAACTTTTGCTGGTCATGAAAATTTTGGCCCAAGATGTAGGGACTACTCAGGCCACCACTGTCCCTCAACACCTAAATTTTCTCATCAACTTTGGGTAAACCTCAGGAATAACTCCAGGGATCCTAACAGCCAGAAATCAGACAAGTTTGGAAAAATTCTCAAGCATGATGCTCGATCCACAGGAAATATTAATGTTGACAATTTGTACAAAACTATTTATGTGCCAGAAACCTGTCTTGAACAAGATTAAGTTCCTACAATTTAAGTGATTAAGTCTAGGCCACTTGACATTATACATATAATACTGTATTATCATTTAATTGCTACATCAGCTGATTAACAAAGTATATGTAGCAACAGTACCTACTTCAAGGTCCTCATCTTCCACACTCACAACTTTTCAGAATTACTCCTTTGCTTTTTATTCTATTTTAGATGGACTTGATGGACTTTCAGAGTCTTTCTTTTAACTGTCTTTTCATAGAAGTCTTTAGTACATTGTCTGCAGGAACTTTTACAGGAGACATCGATGAAACATTTTCTTGGGATTTCTGAAAAAATAAATAAAAATAAATAAATAAAAGGAATATTTCTTTAAGTCCTGTAATCAAACTGTTACGACACATGCACACACTATAGCACTACGACAAACATCCTATTTCCTTCCCTTTAAGGTGTAATGGCATCCCAGGACGCACGGCGTAGTAGGGGTCTATTGGCATCCCAGTAGCATGGCAATTTTATATTTTCCGGTAACTAGTCATGCTGTTTATGCGAAACCTCATCCCTGCATCTATTAGGCCATGTTTCCTTCAGTACCACATTTCTACCAGAAGTGAGTGGTAAATGTATTGTACAGTATATAGTGTAGATACAATATGACTAGGGTCTGTGGGTCTGCCATCACTCACCCTACACCTCGTTTTAAGTATATAACTGTACAGATAAATAAAGTGAAACTAAATCGTATAAGTGATACTACAATAAAGTAAGTAAGTGACCCCTTTGTCCTCCAACTTAAGATTAGTCCACTACAATGTAAGTACACTGTAGATAGGTATTGTTAACTGATTTTGTTTATGGGTGTAATTTTTCAGTAAAAGCGGTGGTCCAAATTACCGGGAAGGGGGGGGGTTCCCACACAAGTCAGACTCAGATAAATCGGACCTTGAGCCCCATATAGTCTGACTTATGGGAGGTGTTACTACAATGAAAACTGTAGGTGCTGTGAAGTTGTGAGAACATGAAGAGTGAGTTGGTAGTGTGTCAAGTGGAATCCTACATTATCAGACCTTTCCTTATCTCTCAGTCAGTTCACACTAAGATACAGAGGGTGATGACTCCTGACTCTCTGACTCAGCAACAACCATAAGTGATGAGTTCAGAGGGGTGATGAACCCCTGACTTCTCTGACTCACAACAACCATAAGGATGAGTTCAGAGGGTGATGACTCCCTGACTTCTGACTCAGCAACAACCATAAGTGATGAGTTCAGAGGATGATGACTCTGACTTCTGACTCACCAACAACCATAAGTGATGAGTTCAGAGGGGTGATGACTCCTGACTTCTCTGACTCAGCAACAACCAAAGTGATGAGTGATAATTATGCATTTCTTATTCCTAAAATATATTTCTCACATTAAGACTATAAGAATCTACTCACCAATAATGCTAACTCCCCAGATAC